CTAACAGAGGTTTCACTTTGGGAAGATCAAGGTGAAATAAATGGTGCTTAAAATGCAGTTCCTTGTCACCACCAGAAGAGGCTGTAACCACAGTAAAAATCTCAAATTGTACCTTTCAACTACTCAAATCCTTAGATCAGCAGGATGTGTATTGAAACACTCGCTTCCCAGTAAATCTGAAAAGTTTCAGTTCACTTTCTTCATCGCTGAGAATAATACCGGGCCATATTCAAAGCCCGCATTCACACTATGGTTGTGAAAACAGTATGAATTCTAGGTCATTCCCCAAAAAATGCAATGCAATGCAATCCATGCCTGGTTAGCCACAAACACAGTACTACACAATAAGTTACGAGTACACACCGAGCAGTATTTCCTGAAGAAAAGGTCCCTTGTACAGCAGTAAGAATGACTGTAGTGCATTAGTGTAGGCAATAGCTATAGGTTTCCTCAGAATGAAGGCGCACGTAGTGTCAGACTCCAGAGTGGAGCTGCGAGTCCAGAAAGCATTGAGTAGTCAATAGAGGTCACAGGGTAAGACATTGAACCAAGAGCACAGTATTATTGATGAACAACAATAATTTCCATTTAATTAGCATTTAATTTCATGTTGGGAGGATATATCAAAGTTCTTCACGGAATGGGAGCCTGAGTTGTGTCTGGGGTGAACTGGGAAAGGGGACGGGAGAGGGTGGGGAGGAAAAGTGACCAAAAAGATGAGGAAGACATTCTGAAAGAAGAGGATTATAAATAAAAAAAATTGCATATCATATAGCACCTTATCACGTCTTTGAGGCATCTCAAAGCGCTTCGCAGAATATACTCTATAAACTGAATTGACTGTATATTTTGTGGGCGAAAACGCAGCAGGCAATTGGGCACAGCAGTGTCCCACAAACAGTCATGGATTAAGTGACCAATGTATTATAATTTTTTTTGAAGGAATTATTACCCCTGAAAAAGCGATCCGCCAATCGACTAACAATCCTCTGCTTTAGGATTTGCTGAATGTCTGTGAAGGATTCTGGTATTCAACCACACGTTGCTCTGTCAAAACCTTCACATGACTTTATTTCAAATAGAAATTGCTTATTGTCAATTTGAACAAAACACATGACGTTCAAGAATAGGAGTGGTTATAATTATAGGATGAAAAATGTGATATTTGGTATGAGAGTTTTTACTTGAGTTAACCAGCACTGCAAAGCTGTGATCCATGGTGCGGCAAAAGTGCCACACACAACTTAGTAGTGTTCAGGGAAGAAAACCCGTCTCCAATAATAATAATAATCCTTGCATTTTGATATAGCGCCTTATCATCAAGACGTCTTAAAGCGCTTCATAGAATATACTATAAAGCAAATTGACTGTACATTTTGTGGCTGAAATGCAGCAGCCAATTGCGCACAGCAGTGTCCCATAAACAGTCATGGATTGAATGACCAATGATGAATGTATGTATGTATTTATTTATTTTTGAAGGGATTTTTTCCTCTGGAAAAGCAATCCACCAATTAACTAACAACCAGGTTCCTATTTACTACTAGGTAAACAGGTGTGTGGAGTAAGTAAACTTGCCAAACGTTTCACCCTGGCAATGCTCAGAGGGCTAGACAGAACGTAACAGCACTTAAGAAGGCCATGCAGCCTATCATGTCTGTGCCAGCTCTTTGAAACAGCAATCCATTCCATTCTATTTGCCTGCCTTTTCCTCCTGTGCTATCTGCAAATTATTCCCTTTTTAGATATCTATCTAATTCTGCCTTGGAAGCTAATTTGAATTCTGCCTCAACCACCACACTCGGCAAAGCATTCCAGTTTTCCCTCGCCAATAAAAAGCTAATCATCGTACATTGTACCAGATGAATGCGATTTGTGTTTAGTCAGCGGAGAAAAAATAACAAGAATTTAGTAATTTTATTTGAAAGAGTTGGGGGAAAATCCAGCCAGTTTGTGGTGAACTCTTAAAATGCACTCAGTCTGCATCTAAATCATAACCTTTGTCTTTCAATCGTATCCATTTACACTGTGGCAAAAATGCAAGAAGACAAAAGTTATTCATGATTTTCTGCTGCAGTTACAGGTCTCGTGAATGACATTTGAGGTTTTGCAGTAGATACACAAAAAAAAGATTCCAGTCAGCATTGAGAACGTTGGTCTCCAATGGGATTTCCTCATTATAATTGTGAATGGCGTAACAGTGACCAAACGTTCAGCCCTCAGGCCAGCCAGTAAAACACAAACCAACCTTTTATGTCCATTGGGGCTGCACAAATGCACGATGAAACATCTGTGCATAGCCTAGGAGTTAGCAGAAGCAGGAAACCCACAGATAAATGGTAGATGAATAATTGATAAACTATTGATGGGAGATGTCATAAATTTCCATGTTTCGTTTACAGATTTGCGGAATGCATATCACACATAATTTATTAAATAAATTCTTTGGAAGACAATTTAAAAAGTTGCCCTGTATCTGGATATAAGCGTATTGTTATTTTCGGGTCCATCGTGATTCTAAAGCTATAAATTAGATGCTCTTCTTGTAGTCTGACAATACATTTAGTGCACTCCTATAAGAGTCTCATAGCTGATACCCTAACCAGTCTGGCGCCTTTACTTTGGTCAGATGGGTGTCCGATACACACCAAAACCCTTATAATGATCAAAAGTATCCAAAGCAAACTGAGAGTACTACATATGTATACCAGCTACACATGAAAATTACCCTTTATCTAGAATATAATGCACATTCTTTTCATGGTGGGACAGATCCTATTTACCTGGAAAGTATTAGGCACAAAAGCAACAACAGCAAATTGAATCTATATAGCGCCTTTCACATCCGGAGACAAAGCTAGGGTCGCAGAAGTGTTCATTGGGAAAATGCTGGAATTTAAACAGATAAACCGCAGCTTAATATGGTGAAAACTCTCTGGCAAAGTTCCCACCATTTGCTTAGCTCGGACCACCCAGTGCTTTAGTTTGTAGGATTAACAGGAAATTAATGGGAAGAATCAGTGGTCCCAGTGAGTGGTCTGCCCCAATTAGAAACTGTGCAGTCAAGAATCCCAATATTCCCAGCAGGATTTCTGGTTCCCAGCAGGAATCAGGATTTACAAATGCTTTGCAAATTCTTTTGCGACTCCTGTATATCTTACCACTCTGTTCTTGACATTTGAGATGTGGAGTCCGATAATCCCGATGTCTTCCCACAGCATTCATAAGCCCCATGAGCCAAATATAAAGCAAAACAGCCAGAATGAAAGGTGGAATTGTTCCAAGAGCATTAGGCAATTGTAGTTTAATATGAACACAGTAGAAGTTCAGTGGTGAAAGCTACACAACCTCCTCAGTATTGTGAATTGTTATTTAGGCAACTCATCTTTATGAAGCGGCACTATACAAATTACAACTGTTTATGTCACCAATTCTATTCATCCATTGAGCAAAAAGTCAACAGAATGGGTTTCTGAGTCACTGATTGTTACATAGTTAGGATAAACAGGCCTAGACTGCCTGCATTTGCAAAGATTTTTTTAAAAAAGACTTGCATTTCGAGGTTTGTAACAATTATCGCAGTGGATCCCATCCTTTGGATGAGACGTTAAACCAAGGTCCCATCTGCCTGTTCAGATGGGGGTGATAGATCGAAAAGAAAAGGAATTTTCTCCCAGTGTTTTAGCTAACAACTTCCCATATTAAATTGGTCACTCACTCCATGACTGTTTGTGGGACATTGCTGTGTACAATCTAGTTGCTGTTTCACCTACAAAATACAGTCAATCCACTTTACAGAATATCCTGTCAGTTTATCAATGTGATAAGGTGCTATATCAAACGCAAGGATTATTATTATCATTATTATTTCCTTAATCCTGTAAAGTGTGGAGGGTGTGAAAGCAAAGAAGAATGGTTACTGATGGCTGATTTTAGAAGGAAAATCCTCATACTTTTATTGCACCCAATCATCTCAAAACTCCTCAAAGCACTTCACAGGCAACTCTTCTCATATGCAGTGACTGTGTATATAGCCATTTACATCAGCAAGATTGTTTTGGTCAGCTGGATGTCTTACACATGTGGAAACCCATCATCATGCTTGAAAGAGTACATAAACCAGACTGAAGAGTTCTGCATATTATAACACTAATAATCTTTCCATTTGATATCAACTGACCAATTTTATCTGACGGATTGTTGGCCAGAAAATTTGCGTGCTACCTACAATGGAAATTCCTCGTCGTCTGGAATGGAAAGAGCACCCTCTCGCTGTACAGACGCACCCTGCTCGTCTCATCCCAGTGAGATGCATAGATTGGCGAGAGCCAACTGAATGGCTGTGACTCTTGTCCCCAATTCTAGAGAAGGTATTTGGCCTTTGTTTTCCAGCTTATCAAAATTTGCAATCAAAAAGAACATCCTCAAAGCCTCTGGTGAATTGAAACCAATTTTAGGATCTCTTACCTAGGAAGACAGTGTTTCATAATATATTTTTCAATGTGGTTCCGTAGTCTGCTGAATCTTGTGATAATCCTTGCATTTGATATCATGTGGTTCAAATATCCCAAAGTGCTTTGCTGTATTCTTTTACTGTGAAGTGCGTTGACTATATTTTGTAGGCAGAGTATAATTAACAACAACAAAATTACATTTGTATAGCGCCTTTCACGTCAGGACAACTGGAATAGGTTGCCAGGAAAGCTGGTGGTGGACTCATTTATAAAGCAACTTGATGCTATGATGGTAGGGTGGTTGTCCTTTAAGTAGGAGCTCAGATGGGCAGAAAGAAAGTACTTCAAAGGAACCATTCAAACTAATCTTGTGATTTTGATCTTGTAACAGCAGAAATAAAAGCTAAAAATACCTACTGCTGATCATATTTAGGACTAGCTGAAGCCATATTCATATGAAGTGCTATCAAGTGGCTAAGTAAGAAGCCCCTCTTGCAATGTAAATAATTCCAAATTTCTGAAGACATTCAGCAGAGAATTACATTATTAAAAACATGACCAATTTTAATTAATAAACCAAACACGGGTTTAAAACAAACATGTTGCAAAGTACCGGAAACTCACATTCTCACTTCTTTTGCATTTCTTTTTCTTTCCCAAAACTTTTTATTTAAAACTCTGAAAAACACACCAGTGGAATTTCACAAAGAAAGATGGGGTTTAAACATAGTAATAATAATAATAATATTCAGTAGACAAGAAACCTTGAACTGTTCATTACTTCCCAACCTTTTCTTAATTCTGGTTGTGCAATAACATTTTGAAACTAATTTCAAGCAAAAGATGCGTTTTCCTTAACCCAAAGGAATAGCCAGAAGGGTGTTATGTCATCAAGATGCTTTAAATCTATTAACACCCAAATCGTACTTTCAAGAAGTAATGTGGGAAAGCGCAAGAACCAACATGAGACATCAGAGAGGTCAGACTCTCTGATGTCACGTGTTGGTTCTTGCCCTTTCCCACATTACTTAAACCCTCCAAGTGAGCCTTGTATCACTGAGTTCGCAACCTCAGCTACATCAGTATTGGGAAGTGCAGAGCAGATCCCAGGAATCTTTTAATGAGGAGGTGAAGGTTGGCAAGAAAAGCATTCTGGTTGCTCTTTTAGCACCTCCTAGTGGTCAGATTCCAAGCAGCGTTGGCGGAGGCCTCAGAGCAGACCAGGTATGGAGAATGGCGCAATGAAATTCAATTAAGGAAGGAAGAAAAAGAAACATCTAATTTAAAAGAACAAACAAAGGTACCTGGACCATGGACAAGAAACCTGTTACATTAAAATGTGCTCAATCCAGAGCACAATCCTGTTTTAACAGCCTCAAGGTAGACTGGAGCAACTTCAGCACCAGTGTAATCTTATATCAAAAAGTAACTTGCATAATAGTGAGTGGATGCTGCTCCTTACTTATTGCCATTTAATCTTTCCTTTTGATACAGCATTTCACAGGTTCATTGTATTTTGTAAGCAAATATACATTTCTAATCAGACTGATCTCAACCAAACGCTTCACACACAGCAAGCAAATGGACAAACCTGTCAGGTTGCTTCTTTCTAAATAATAGTGGCAGGGAATTTCCATTTAAAGAACTTTAGTTTTATTGAAACCTGAAGCCAACAAGCAGCAACAATAAGTCTGCACTTGTCCCAGTGAATTTGTAGTGATTGTAATCAGCCTGCCAGGTAGCTACTTATCACTACACATGTAAGACCTTTTGTCACAGGATCTTTGCTAACACTGGTACCTACCAAAGTGAATCTGAAGAGCCCCAGGATAAATTTCTATTCATAAGTATCACCTGAGATGAAAGGAAAGATAATTTGATTTTGTCGGATAGATTTATCATAAAAGGGAAAACATAAGAGGTTAAAGTTAGATCAAGGGATTTGCTCTTCATCATTTATCAGACGAAAGGCCTGAGCCATTCACAAAGCAAGGGCTTGTTTTCCAGACAGTTCGATCCTGTAGGTTTAATGCTGATACCCCATTAGAATAAACACCAGGTTCTAACAACTGCTGGCAGCAGTTTCTGAGAAACGTCTTGTACTGCCTGCTCCCTCCCTCAAAGAAGTAATGAAATGACAAATGAGCACTTTCAGGATTTTCTAGTTAAACACTTCCTCAAACATACTTGAAAGTGGCATCATAACTGTATCATGTCTTGTACCTCAGCTCCAAGCAGCCCCATCTCGACTTTATTCAAGTTACATTATCGTCCATTACTAGGGCTTTCCTTGATTGATGTATTCATGCTGGCTGGTTGGTGTGTCCTATATTCTGAATAGTTGACTATGTAACCCATAACATACGCAATGCCTCTCCTCTTTCCACAATTTACGTTTGTTGCTCTCTTCTGTTTCCTGAAGAATTTGTCTTAAAACTTTTCATATGATTAACGTGAGCAAGTCATTTCAATTGATACTTTTTCCAGGGCAGCTTATGAGTAACCATGCAGTGGCTGTCTTAAGGCAAGAAATAAGATGCAATAGTCAGCTTTTAACACATCAAATCCCATCCAATTCTCTCTATTTAGTTCAGAGATAATCCTGACCAATGGATTTTTGATGTCATTACCAGACGTGTTCATATTTGAGGCTGATAGCCTTGATGTGGAGAATAGCCTTGATCTGAATGAATGCTGGTGCAGCAAACTGCAGACTGTGCAATATTCTGAGGATAACCCTGGTTCTCATTAAAAGCAATAGCCTGTTTATCCCAGACTCAAGGGACCAAACATTCATTGAGAAACAGTAATAGGATACATTGCAAATGCAATTTAAAGAAATGTAATGAAGTGCCATTGTGATTTCCAAACCTATCTTGGAACTCTCTGTCCCTATAATTTTTATGTTAACATTTCCCTGTGCCTGTGAGGTTACAGTTGTAAATCATTTGGTGAAGACTTGGAGGGTGGGGCGAGCAGATTAATTAACAGTGTGATCAAAAGTAGTACCAGATCCAAGCGGTGACCTCAGTTGTTCTTCAATTCATGCATTAGTGCCATTTTGTAAATGTCATTGCTTTTAACACAATCAAAAAGGAACATGCTCCTTTCTAGTAATAAAGTGTACTTCAGGTTCAAAAGGGCGTCATTGGATTTTTGTCATTAATTTCCACTAGAGGCATGTCATGAGTGGGCAGTGACCTGTCTAAAGTGAGTCAATAGCTCCATCCCATCTGAGCCCACCAGTGGCACCAAATTCTACCTAGTTTTAGCTTGTAAGACTATTTTGCCCTAAAATTTAAGAATGCACAGGACTGCGGGAAACTCTTAAATTCAGCCTTACTTTGGAAACCAGTTTTCCAGTTATTAAAAAGAACCAGTTTCCAAATGGATCCTGAAAGTTAACAATTTTCCGCAATTCTAAAACAATAAGGAAAAATGGTCCTACAGGGTAACACCAGATGGAATTTCAGGCCTCAGGGGAGGACTTCCATCAGGGCCATTGGACAGCAATTCAGGGGAAACATTGTGACTTTTCCTATTGATTATGCCCTAACCTGATGCCCAACTATAAGCTTGAGGCAGCACAGACCAGGGAGTCAACCTTCCTGTCCAAGTTGTTGAGTATTTACTGCCTTGGCCCTGACAAAATCATCAGAGAGCCTCCACGCAGTATATTTATATCATTCCTATTGCAGTACAGATAGAAACCGTTACACTCTTTAGAATTTACTGTACACAGTAGACAGAGAGAGACATCAGGGATCAACAAATTTATAGTGTATTTGTTTGCATCTTGTTGAGCATGGATTTCTCCTGTTTCTGGGAGGCTGGCATAACCCAACCAGTGAACTGGGGGATTCTATTCCCAATCGGCCATTAGGATTGCCAAACAGGGGGAAAAACAGGGGGAAAAACAGGTGCAATACCCTCTCTCCAATATGAACAACACTGGGATTAAAAAATAAAGGGCAAAGTGCACATCGTCTTAGTTCAAATAGCTTGGCCAGGACTGCAGTTGCTCTTTCAATGAATCTGCACAGATAGATGGCTGCACTGTTCCCATATCAGCTCCACTACAGGCACATGATACCTATACTGATACTAGACCAGGACGAGTGAGTCAATGATTCATTCAGCTATACTTTTCTTTAGTTTGGATTTGATACTGCATCTAATTCCGTTCTGTGCTTTTATTCCACATTACGATTACAGATATATTTATGTGTAGATATATAGTTCAAGCTAAAGCTGTGAATTTCACACTGGGCTCACTTTATGAAGCGCGCAGCACTGGTGCAGCCTCTCTCAGTACGATGTCCCTTGATAATACATTTTCAAATCATGTGTTCTTAAAGGAAGCAATGAAAACTGTGCAATCTATTACTCTCCTATAGTCCCTGGGAAGATTGTGTGAAATGGAACCAGCAACTCTCCGCCCCCCACCCTTACACACACCACCTCCAAGCCTAAACAAAAAGACATCATTTAAAGCTAGGTAGATTAAATCTTGCTCGTCGCTTGCCCTTTGTGCTTCTCAATGAAAGATTGTCTGACAGCAACGCGTAATAGTGCTTTCTGGATGTTCTGTTTTATTCCGTGGCTTTGAACGTTTTCACGCAAGAAATTCTGAGAAATTTTGACAGAATGCATGTGTCTTACTCTGCAACACAGCACACAACTGTGAATCACCCAAGAGTTTCATTCTGATCAGATTCTTGATTTAAAGTTTTTTTTGTCTTGCTGGCATGTAGTCACAGCCCAAATCCCCAAGTTACGATATGCAGCTACTTCTCCCATTCACTCTCCCCACCAGATAATTTGGAACCATGATATTGGTGACCGACAGCGACTAGGGGAGTACCCAGGTTGTTTTTTTCTAGAGATGTTGATAGTAAATATTCAGAATCATTGGTGGGACTAGAAGGAGTTCCGCAGTATCATGGATCCCATTCACCCTAACAGACGACAAAGGAAAAAAAAATCGTCATAAAACCACATTAAGTCATTGATAAAGAGTTATTGTTCATTGATAAAAAATTGGGTGGGAATGGCTTCCTTAAAAAAATACAATCATTGCACATGTAACAATTCTAAAAAGATTATCACTGACTGACATCTGCTTTTTTTCTTCTCAAAGCTGCAGAGTCCAATTGCTGTTGTTCACCCGATGGTCCCTCTCACCTCCAGTGCAAGAGTTTCTTAGTCCATTTCCATTTGTATTAATTTGCGATTCTCGCGTCTCGTTCCGCGCTTCTCCTCCCTGCAGCAACACTGCGAAGTGCACCATCCGATCGCACAGGCGAGGATTCCCACAATCAAGGTACTGGTGATCCCGTATATCAAAGGCATCTTAAAAGAATCCAGCACTAAAAGTAGGGGAGTGAAACAAGTAGAGTTAGTGCATGCCTATCTGGCCTTGTCATGTTCCAAACACTGGGGTTAAAAAGTCGCTCCTGAGAAAAGTGATAGCGTTACTGGCAACCTGCCACCACTAGAAGCACATTGTAACATAACCTGTGTGTTCTGCAGGGAAAGTGAGACTCATGAGACTCTGAACCCAAGGCTGTACTGGGCTGGGTGTTGGCTACATACTTTACACTGCAAGACTCCACTAATGCCATGGCGTTCCAGGGGAATCTTTTTAGCTCCACTGTGTCAACTTTACACAGTAATTAACGACTGGAAGGGTATGAGGCCTGTATGCTGGACCCACTTGAGAAACAGCTTGAGAGGTCGGTAGGGTGGGTATTCTGCAAGGATGAGTTCAAATGAGCTGAAAGGAACAGAAGGGTATAGGACAGAGAGTGGATTAGGAGGGATGGAGGCTAATTGGAGTATAAACATTGGCACCGACTAATTGGGTTGAATGGCCAGTTTCTTTTCTTTCTATTCTAGAACTTTCCATGTAATTCTATGAAACGACTTTTTCAACTGAGCCCCTCTTGTGATCTTTCCAATAGAAGACCTCAATTTACGCTTGGCAGTCAAAATCAATGCTGTCATATCATCAGGGAAAGAACTGGCTGAAACTGCAAGAAATGGTAATGAAATCAACAAGTGGTTACAAACCTATTCTCTCGGTGGTATAAAAGGTGAACACGCAATGAGTTGGGTGCAGAGTTAAAGGAGAAACAGATCCACACTCACTCCACACTCACCTCACATCCTTGGTGATTTTTCCTGATAAGTTCCCAATTCTAAGAAAGATTTTTAAACAATTTCCCATTCTAAACTCACACCAACAAGTTTAGAAACTTATGGATGAGCCAGGGAAAGAGAGGAGATAAAATTGGAGGAGAAAAATTTGGTGGACCACACCACTAAAATAGTGATGGAAGATTTTCTTATTTCTCTATCAAATCCACGACTCTTTGTGGGACACTGTTGTGTGCAATTGGCTGCTGCGTTTCACCCACAAAATGTACAGTCAATTTACTTTACAGTATATTCTGTGAGACGTCTCAATGATGCGATAGGGTGCTTATATCAAGTATAAGGATGATTATTATCAAATGCAAGGATTAAAATAAAAGTCATTACGTTTTGTAACACTGAATTCTCTACCCCAGCATTGCTGCTTGGGATTTAATATTTTTTTGAATGGAAGTGAAGTCTAAAAGAAATCCTTGTGGAATTTTAGAACCAAAATACAAACAAAGATTCCTCAGCACAGTGCATGTGTTAGCACTTGCAATTCTGAGAATCAGCTGCATCTCCTCAGTGATTCTGGATAAAATATGCGGACTCAAAACACACCTGAAATATTAACTCGCACTGCAAGTGGATCCGATGTTTGCTGACTCATTTTCTGCCAATCTCCAATCTCTGATTTAATCCATGGTGTCACCGCACAGTAATAAAACTTTGCGTCTCTCTTCTCAGCACAATGTATCCGCAAGCAGAATTCGTGTTCACTGATCCTCTCGGCACTGATGCTTGTGGTCATGTTGCCCTTAGCGTGTGTCACCACCGACTTCTGATCTATGGACACCAGGAGGCTTGTATTCAAGTACAGCTGTTCAGAAGCCAACCATTCAACCTCGTAAAAGACATCTAGAGGAGGTAAGACAGAATTCAGACAAGACCACAACAACCAGGTCCACAGTGAAATACAACTTAATGGGTTGCAATAGGGTTTGACTTCCTGTTCACAGTAATAATGTTTTTTGAAAAGCATTGTTTAGTTTGGCATATTCTAAATTACCGGAAAGTTAGTTTATGTAGGTTATAGGTATACAAAAAAGTGTTTACTATGGAAGCAGTAGAGTTCTCAGCCCTCAAAGACACCTTGACTGTGTGTTAGACACAAAATACTTAGTTAATGAGTTAAATAAACTAGTCTCCACACAGCACAATATATATTTAGCCAGAACTGCTGTACCCTTAAGACAAGGCTGCTCAACCATCAATAGGGTCAATGTATGGATTGCACAATGCAAGCGTCTATTTAATAGATAAGCCGACAAGGCAATGTGCTCAAAGCAAATAGCTCATTAGACGAGCCTATTCTTGAGAAAGTAGAATATTTTTGTGACAGATTTCAGACACCTCTCTAAAATTACCTGTGTTCTTGGATATCTCCAACAAGTCAATGACACAGTTAATCTGCACAGTCTCTCCTTGCAACACATGGTGTTTATCAGATTCTAATGTCACATTAAACCAGGGAGCTGAAAAGAAAAAGGGAAACTAATCAGTACACAAGTAGTAGTTCAGGGCATCAAGGACTAACATTGTATTTAACAATAGTTTTGAGAATGCATTAACAACAACAACAACAAGATTCCATTTATAAAGCGCCTTTCACGTCAGGAGGATGTCCCAAGGCGCTGCACAGTTGGGTCATGACCCGAGCAGGGGGGAAATGGTCAGGGTGAGGGGAGGGAAGGGAGGGAGCGAGGAGGGGGGAAATGGTTAGGGTGAGGGGAGGGAAGGGAGGGAGCGAGGAGGGGGGAAATGGTCAGGGTGAGGGGAGGGAAGGAAGGGAGTGAGGAGGGGGTAGAGAGTCGAGGGGAGCTGAAGGCTCGGTCAAAGAGAAAGGTTTTGAGACCGGCCTTGAAGGAGGAGAGGGAGGAGGCGGCGAAGGCACTGGGGGATAGAGTTCCAGAGCCTCGGGGCTGAGAGGCTGAAGGCCCGACCACCGATGGTAGGGCGATTGGGGCGGGGGACGTGGAGCAGACCGGAGCCGGGGGAACGGAGGGTACGGGCAGGTAGGTAGGGGGATAGTAGGTTGGAGAGGTAGGAGGGAGCAAGGCCGTGAATGGCCTTGTAGGTGAGGATGAGGATCTTGAAATCAATCCTCTGGGGATGGGGAGCCAGTGGAGGCGAGCGAGGGTGGGAGTGATGTGGTCCCGAAGTCTGGTGCGGGACAGTACACGAGCTGCAGAGTTCTGAATGACCTGCAGCTTGTGGAGGGAGGTGCCGGGAAGGCCGGCGAGGAGAGAGTTCCCATAGTCCAGCCTTGAGGTGACAAAGGCGTGAACCAGGGTTTCAGCAGCGTGAGGGGTGAGGTAATGCCGTAGTCTGGCGATGTTCCGGAGGTGATGGAAGGCGGTGCCAGTTGTGGTGCGGATGTGAGGGAGAAAGGACAGCTCAGGGTCGAACAAAAAGCCAAGGTTCCTGAGAGGTGGAGAGTGCAGCCTTGGATGCTGATGGTGTCGGCGCCTGAGGTGCGGAGGCGCTGACGTGAGCCAATCAGGAGGGCCTCGTAGGATTAAGTAGGATTGCACCATGATAAATGTCCACGCACCACACTGAAGGCAAATGCCTACTAGATAGCTGATGAGGAAACTCTGAGGCTTGGGGTAACAACTGCAGGAAAGCGCTACTTGGGGTCCTGAGTTCGTGAACAAATGTTTGTATGTCCAGCGCCTGGAATCCACCTTGATTGGCCTGCAGAGAGGCAAGCAGCAGCCGCTTAAATTCCGTACCTCCAACTGGTGGAACCATCGCTCAATGGGAAGGGACCATGTGCCCAAGCTGTACACAGAAAGAAGGTGGCATGGCTCTCAACCATTTCGTGCTGAGATGTGTTGCCCACCGGGAAGCTCACAGGGAGTTCCTTGTATCTACCATCCACCTAGTGAGGACTCAAACCCATGCTTGTCGGATGTCGAACAACCAACTGTGACTATCCTTCTGGGGGGTGGGGGAGGAGGCGGGTTGGTTAGCGGGGTCCCCTTGGAGCTGAATTGGCTCCGAGGTGACATGCCTGGCAATGAAATGTCAGAATCAAGCCAGTCCTCTGTGGCGCTCTCGGTAGTCCGGTTCCCGAGCCAGGCGGGTCCACAGTATTCCAGGGCACTGCTGATAACTGCACAGCCAGCCTGGCTCATCGGCAGGACCTGGAAGGACAGACCAGTCACTGGGGGCAGGGAGTCATCCCACTCAGCTCCTGTTAACCCTGCAAGTCAAAGCCAATAGGTAGTGTGGTCCTAATTGGACAAGCAGTGGGAAAGCTTCCTGGACAGCAACATCAATGGCAAGCTAAGCAGTTTTAGCTGGTGAGATGTCAGCAGTATCCCAACGCACACTCTGGGGTCCCCAAGTCTAGGCTCTTTGCAACCTGTGCCTAATGCTTTCCGGAATTGGGTAAGCAGGATGCATCCCTCCAGGGAGAAAGCGTGCATTCCATTCGAACAATCTCTCTCTGGGAATTGTGTAGGTGGGATGCCTGGAAATCTCATCATGGTGATGGGTTTCCGCATGTGTCAGACACCCGGCTGACCCACCCCAAAATTAGGAAGCTTAACAGTCAGAAGAGAAAAGGAACATTCATTCTCTCCGTCTGTGCTGCATTAGAACTGGAGTCATAGTGCTTTATCATACAACCTTACATCAGGCCTCCAACAGAGAAAAAAGTAGGAGAATGGGAGCAGAACACAGTAAACTCCTGATAACTCGCCACTCCAAGGAGAAAGGGCTTAGTGACGAGTTATCCAGAGTCGCGATTTAGGCTATTGGATAAGTATATAAATAAATGCAGCCAGGATATTGACACCATGATGACACAAACGGTAGTGAGAAGTTAACCCAGCATCGAGGTATCAGGAGTTTACTGTAGGTAGTTCCAGTATGGGAGCAAGCACCAGTACAGACATGATGGGTGAACAACCTACAGTAAATGAGTTCTATGATTTTAGACAGGAGGCTTTCATTCTCCCTGTTTGGGTTGGATTCAATCCAAGGTCCCAGAGGTGACGTAGAATCAACTATATGCATTCAGTAATGAATAAAATTAATGTGGACTGTTCACCACTACTTCCTACAGCCCTGGTGCAGCTCCATGCACCATCACTGTATTGTAATCCTCTTAGAAACAGTGTCACAAATGTGAACAGGCAAATAGAGGATTTAGTAATTCTCTATATTACTCATATAATAAAAGGAATATAGTGGAGTGCCATTATCGCAGGGCTCCTGTTCCTATATGAATAGATTGGGTGGGGGTGGGGTGGGCTTCTATAAAATACCAAACAGTATTATGGCGGGGCGTGATCACATTGGTAGGCACTTCCACATTCACAGCACTTCTGGTCAGTTCATAATGTCGACTTTGCTGTTTGCATGTATACTAAAACATGACTGTCATCAAGTCGCTGCCAACATCACCTTCGGCCGCATTTGTTTTTCACTAAGTAAATGTTGGGGTCTATAAGCAAACTCACATTACAATATAGCGCCTTATAATGCGGGTATTATAAGTTATATAACTTCCAAACACTATGGAAGTGCTTGCAGGTTATATAACATATTCTTCCAAGGGCAGCCTCGTAACCATTTTTAATTTGGGCTGCACATCAATGGTCTCACCCATGAAATTTCACTGAGTCTTTTGTAAATTTCTTTAAGATATTAAGTTCACGCAGAATGTATGGAAAATGCTTAAATTCAGTCTCTTATCAGGCAGAGTGAAATACTGTATTCAGTAGATATTCTTTTATAGTTTGAACAAAACTCTGGTAGTTCACCACAAGAAATGTTGCTATTCTGTCTTTGAAAGAAACAGAACACAGAGCAATGGAAATACTGAGACACGCTTATTTCAACAAACTCCGTGAGGCTCAGAACCTTTTGCAGAATTGCTCTGGGGGTTAATCTATACACCACGTAGTGTTTTAACTATTGATGAGTTGTGCCCTGTCAGGGAAACGGTTGTAACTAACATGAGTATTTATTTTGGTACAATCTGTGAGTCTGTCCTGAAAATGCCTGCTTTATGTAAGGTAGAAAGGCCTTGGTGGTATGTAAGGGCTTACGTGTGTTTCCAGCCAAACATAGGATTATTGTTTGCCTGGGTCACAACTTAGCAGTGCAGTCAGTGTCAGAGAACAGATGCACAACAGCTGTCCACATCATTGGTGTTGGTGGTATGTGTGTATGAGGGGGGAAAAGAGTCTTCTCACTGGATCAGCTGGGAGACTTTTGAGGAAAACCAGCACTCCGAAAAAACCCGAAATGGTAACCCTCCTCTGTCGGTTTTAGGAACTTCCATTCAATTGCGCATTCAAGGTCGCAAACTTTCCATTTGTTCCAAAGTCCAGACCACCCACGCACCAAGGGATTTTATGACCCTGGAGGAATTCCATCTGGATCCAGAGTTAGAATTTTTTTCGCTTAGTATTTCACTGCAAATTTTGGTCAATTCTTAAACTCAATCTTAAATCTAGAAGCGGGTTTTCTGTAGGTTCTTTTTAGGACTACGGAAAACTGGCTTCAAAATTGAGACAGAATTTGAAAGTTCTCTTGAATGTCCACGCTTCAAAATGATAAGGGGAAAAAGTCTGGACCCAGAAGGAATTTCTCCCCTCAGATCACCAGTTTTCTGCAGAAGCAGATATGAATGTCCAGCATAACTGCAGCCTGAGCTAATAGCAGGACTGTACTTTTCTGGAGTGATTAAATGCACACCTACCTGCTGTTTTAAAGGCAATAGATACTGTATTTGATGAGTTTGCAGCAGACTTGAGCCACCCGCCATTCGTGTCTGGTATCCATGCCTGAACCATGCAATAATACATTCCTTCGTCAGCAAACTGGGTCCTGAACAGCCGGAAACGAAATTCGTTGTCGCTGACCTTCTCCAGAATGACATCCTCCGATCGGTCCTTGGTGTCCCAGGTCTCCAGTTGGACCACAGAGTCCCGGCTCAAGGAAATTAGTGTTTTAATGTCATTTGCATCGGGAGAGGTTGGTTCTTTCATTGCGATCACCACTGAGTAACGGGACACAGTCACGTGCTTGGAGGAAACGCTACAGGTCATCTCAAACGTATTGCCTCTTGTAGACACTGGCTTCTCCCCTGTTGCTTTAATATTCAAGCTTGGAACTGAGAAATAGAGAACAATAATATTAATAATAATACTTGCATTTGACGTAGTGCCTTATCAAGTCATCAAGACAAAACAGTGAAATGCAGGAAATCTGGGTCAACTGTAACTGGCAGCTGTTGCTATCAAAAGGTATCGTACTGATCCCTTCAGATCATCCACCTGCTAGCCTTATATGGGGAGAATAGCAGACTAGACGTCGCAAGCTCTGAGATGTGAAGGGCAAGTTTCAGACAGACAACAGGAAGTATTCCTTTACATAGAGGGGAGCTTCCAGGACAGCTGGAATGGTTTACAAGGAAGGGTTGTTGAAGCTGCTGCAATGGATTGGTTTAAGAAACAGCTTGTTGCTAATAACAGGAAGGCAGAAGGGTGGGCATTCTGGTGGGCATGAGATCAAATGGGCCAACAGTCCTTCATCCAAACCTATCCCATGATCTTGTGGATTGTCTAATGCACAAAATGCTGGATCTCAAACTTCCTAGAATAGTTGGGTATGGTATAGCATCCTCAAAGTTCAGTAGATCAAGTTTCCAACCTCAATCAGCTGCTTTTCCAAAGCAGTGGGGGAGACCTACACAGGAAATTTTTCAACCCAGGCATTGATGGTTCAACAAGGGAGATACTATAATCTATCAAACTAAATGCACGCACTTTTAGGAAAGTAGGAGAGAATAATTTAATCTACATACAAAAATACTCTTTGATATATAAAAAGCAAGATTGTATTTAATAAATTGACAGGAATTATTGAAGTGAACATTATAAACAACTCGAGGCAAATATTTGGATGCATTTCTGGAGAGGGAAGAGATAAAGTGAGAAGGATACATTATGTTGCTTGAAAACAATCAGTAGTGGTTTGCTAGCAATGGATTTTCCTTGTCTTAAATAAATAAATCTTTTGTTCTTGTTAGAATATGCCAGGAACACTTAATTCACCTTGTGTTTGCCAGGACATGATGACAGGGTCTGAAGCGACTGTCTTGGATTTCATCCTCGAGTCATCCCGATGCTTAACCCAGGCAGAGACTTTGCAAAAATATTCGCCTTTATCAGAGATGAGAGCCTGCTGAATCTGAAACCTGAAAGTATTGAGCTGAGATTTGGTGAAAATTAGTTCTCCCTTTTCTGCTCGCTCCTTATACTCATTGTCCACTGTTAGTATCAGCTCTTCATTCATCGATGCTAAGGGTATATTCACCCAGTCACTGCCATTCTTCTCAGGTTTGAAATACCAGGACACGGTGAGTCTGGGACTCTCCATCCCCGAGCTCCCTAGGTTCTGCACATCCACCACTTGACATTCCATCACCGCTGAATCCCCAAAGGAATGAGCTCCCTTTATCAAATTCATTTTCACAGAATACGAAGAATCTGAGGATGATAAGTCGATCAGAACAAAGTTCACCTCACATCTCAAATGCATGCTGGACAACCAAAGAAAAGCACCTTGGATATGGGTCAGTCAGCCTGACTTATAAGATCTTATCTTTTCACCCACAAAATATACAGTCAATTCATTTTACAGTATATTCTGTGAAGAGCTTTGAGACGTCTCAAAGACATGGTAAGGCGTGATATGAAATACAAGGATTATCCTGCTATAAAGGACATTCAATGGATGGTCCCTGGGTCTGTGCAGAGTGGGGACAGCAAATGAAGTTGCCTCAATTGGATCTCAGTAACCCCCTCTCACCCTCCAATATTAGAGTGTGACTTACTCAGTTTGTAAACTACTTTCATCTCTTGAGGAGACCTGAGATACGTAATGTCTGGTTTTCCCAACAACACGTCCAGCAAGACCCGACTATGAGCCTGATCTCCCGGGCCAAGTCGCATACAACAGCAACAACTTGCATTTATATAGCGCTCCTCAGGCAGGGCAGCATCCCACAGTGCTTGACAGCAAATACAGTGGATCTGACTCCCAAAATATAAAGCTGGAGATGCAGAAAGACTAGCCCTGGGGATACACCACTCCTATGCAAGCGCATTGACCTCTTCTTGTAGATTTCCCTTCAAAGTTGTTTTCATGGGATCTTCGCTAGCCAAATAACAGCCGAGTCAAAGGAGCAAATCAGTCTGATTTTCAGCCTCTTTAACCATTATTTGAGGAGCGGAGAACAGGGTTGTCAGTGGTGACCCGATGACCTGGAAGTGCAACTAATTGCTAGTTCTCCCCCCGCGCCGCACCCCCCCACCACCCCCGCCTCCCACCACCACCACGTGACCTGTTGTAACACCATGTCCAGTGTTATGGATCCATCGTCATAATGGGGTTATGTGCATAACAGGTAATGTTGTACATTAATTATCCTGTCTACAGTTGTAAAACACACCGATTTGTGGCTCAATATAGATTTCTGTTTGGGACACATTGCTCTGTTTAAAATTGGCTACCAAGTTCGCCTGCAAAACACACAGTCATTACGTTTCACAGTAAATCCTGTGAAGCGCTTTGAGACGTCTCAAAGGCATTATATTAAATGCAAAGATTATTATTATAATAAAATGCTGTAAGTAATAAATTACCTAAGAAACTAACTCTGACAGGGACAGAATTAGATGTCTTTTCTGCTGCTTTTTTCCACGTTCCGCTCGACCCCCGGATCCAGACGGATGCTGTGCAGTAGTAGTAGCCACTGTCCGTTTCGTCAACCTGCTGCACTCTCAGTCTGTACTCGTTGCTGCTAATCTTGCTCAGTGTGACGGAATTCGAATTGTTCACTACTGCCGTTCGGTCCATGTACACCAGGCTTGATTGGCTCTGAGCATTGGTTGGCAGAGAAGAGCTGAAATACCAGCCCACCTCGACCACAGCCAGATCCTCAACTCCTGTCACAAGGCAGCTGAGATTAAGGTTACTTTCTTTGTTTAGAGTCAGGTTGCCACTGAATGTGGAGACTGCCAGAGCCTCAGCTGAAAAAAAAATACATTCTTTAGTAATATTTCAGACAAGATCATCAAAGCCCAGGGAGTTCAAATAGCAGAAGTGATCCCAGGGCAGGGTGTATGAGATTTGAGTCAGTCCATGGCAGTTCGAAATGGTGGGTCTGAGCTCCGAACTCCGAACTCAAAACTGTATGTCTGAGCAAACAACTTTCAAAAGATGAACAAATTCATGATTGGTACCAAGCTGTTTGCTCAGCACGAATTCAGGGGGAGAAATTCCACCTAGGTCAAGATTTACTCCAGTCATGTAGAGTTTCAGAGGGTTGAGAATTAGGCAAATCTTTATATTTTGCAGCCAGCTTCTTTTAAGAACTGGACAGAAAAATGTCTCAAAAGACGAGAATCAATTCAACAATTTCCAAAACTCTGAATGCTCTGACATGCTCAGAAAATGATAGTGACCCGAATTCCAGGTGTACTTTCTCCCCTTTCGGTGTTGTCAAAAGAAACAAAAATCGAAAGCAAAAATAACCTCTGCTCAGAATTACCATTCTTCGTGCGTGAAAGCTCAATAAGTATCAACTTATTTATCACCAACTGGACCCGACCCTGGCTAACGTTGGACCAGTTGTTCTGTAACATCTCCATGAAGTTTTAACCAGTCCTAGAATCGATTACATGTCAAATCAAAAGTGACCTACCCAATGATCGTACTTTAATCGATGCAATGTCTGTGTTTTTCTCGAGGATATTTTTCCAGGTGGCAACATCTTCCATAACCCATTCCTCTGCTACGCACAGGTAGGTGCCCTGATCCTCGGGACGCAAACGGTCAATAAGCAATTTGTAGACACCGCTTTCTTCAATGCTCATCCTCACGTCACCACTTTCATACCGGTCTTTGTACTGGTCACCGGACTTTAATTTTCCCTTTGCGGTAAGCGACAGAATATCCATCATGGTCCCACTCTCTTCTGACTTTAACCTCCACGTGATGGCCACATGCGTGTGAATAGTTGAGGTTGTGGTTGCGATACATTGGAGTTCCAGTGACTCCCCTTCCGTGTAATTCCTAGATTTTATACTTCGGGATTTTCCGAGTGTCACTGTTAGTCCATCGGGAATCACTGTTCAAATGAGAGAAATAAGTCAGGACTGATTGAAACCAGAAATATTTCAAGAAGCTTAAAAGGGAAGCAACCAGTATTGAATTTCATTGCAAAACTAAGTACTATAAAGGGACAATCAGTTTACTCACTCACTCACTCACTCACCCTTGCTTTACACTCTGGAACAGCTTACACTGCTTCACGCAGTACAGTAATAATAGTGGCAGATGGCCAGGACCAAGAATGCTACTGGAAGCACACCCCAGTGAGACTTGAACATTCCCACATTAAGGAATGACAACATTAACTTGGGATCTATTCTACACAGTAAAGCCTCTTTGACTGTCACAAGCTTTCTGGTTCAGTAACTGGATCAACAGAGCAAGTATTAAAGACAGAAAAATGTGATAATCCATTCTGGTATGAAAACAGCAGAATTACAACTCACACCTATAAAGGGCCTTGCACATCGGATGAACAAGAATAATAACAATAATCCTTGCACCTGATATTGGGCCTTATCACGTCTTTGAGACATCTCAAAGCGCTTCACAGAATATACGAATATATTGCAAAAGTGAATTGACTGTACATTATGTGGGTGAAACTCGGCAGCCAATTGTATACAGCAGTGTCCCACAAACAGTCGTGGATTGAGTGACCAAATTATTATTATATATTTTTATTATTTTTGGGAGGGATTAATACCCCCAGAAAAACGTTCCGCTAAAAGACTAACAACCGGGTTCTTGTTTACTGCTAGGTAAACAAAGGCGGCGTGTGGAGTAAGGAAACATGCCCAGCGTTTCGCCCTGCTGGGAATCAAACTCAGGTCCCCTTTCCTGCGAAGCGAGTGTACTAACCATTAAGCTATAATACACTGAAGGGCTTCCCAAGGTAATAGGGATACCTAGGCAGAAAGGAAAGAAGGGGGAATTTAAGGAGATTGGCTAAAGGCATGCTCAAAAAGATTCATTCTAAAGATTCATTCTAAGAGAGTTTCCAGGGTGAGGAGAGAAGCACTTTGAGAGAGAGTTTCAGACAAGAGGGGCACGGGGGCTCAAGGCTCGCTACCAATGGTGGGGCAGAGGGAATGAAGAATGAGACACAGACTGAAGTCTGAGGAGCGGAGGTCACAGACATTAAAACAAACTCTCTCTAGCACCTGTTAATTATCTGTAAAGTAAAGGAAACTTCTCATTTCATTGAGTCTGGGCTTCCTGTTGCATCAGTTGGTTAAATAAAGTGCTCAGTGTGCAAGTGCACCACAAGCACTAAGCGCTTTGAGACTTCTAGAAAATGTGAAAAGCGCCATAACAAATGCAAGGATTAACTATTATTTATTATAACATTGCTCTCCATGACTGCAAACAGCAATGACAACAACAACAACAACAACAAGATTCCATTTATAAAGCGCCTTTCACGTCAGGAGGACGTCCCAAGGCACTGCACAGTTGGGTCATGACCCGAGCAGGGGGGAAATGGTCAGGGTGAGGGGAGGGAAGGGAGGGAGCAAGGAGGGGGAATGGTCAGGGTGAGGGGAGGGAAGGGAGGGAGCGAGAAGGGGGAAGAGAGTCGAGAGGGGAGCTGAAGGCTCGGTCAAAGAGAAAGGTTTTGAGACCGGCCTTGAAGGAGGAGAGGGAGGAAGCGGCGAAGGCACTGGGGGATAAGAGTTCCAGAGCCAGCACTGAAATCTTCAAGCCCATCCATCGTGCCATTGGCTGGGGAGATGGGATTGCTGAGAGTGTGGCAATCTCTCTACCCCTCCCACTTCCCTTCTCCCCCCAGCTTTCGTATAACAGTTATGAAACAATCCCATGTTTTACTTACCTTGATGTACTGTAACATCAACAGCAACAAATAACACATTTCGTTTATGTAGCATCTTTCATGTTGCGAGGACATCCCAAACATCCCAACATAAAAATTATACAATAAAAAGGTGAAACTCATGATTTTGAAGCAAATCTGAAATATCTACTGATTTCAATTATCTACCAGGATTGTCTCCTCGGAGATCATCAATGTTCCACTGTACTGTTAACAGTGGGAAATGTAATGAAAGTGTATATAATCTAGCTGGGGATCTTCATGCCTAGTCTTTCAATAGAAAAGACCAGTTAAATATACTACCTACCCACGTTTCATGTCGCCTGCCTTATAATAATAATAATAATCCTTGCATTTGATATAGCGCTTTTCACGTCGGGAGGACGTCCCAAAGCGCTTCACAGAACACACTGTAAAGTGAATTGACTGTATATTTGTGGGCGAACGCGGCAGCCAATTGCGCACAGCAATGTCCCACAAACAGTCGTAGATTGAAAATGACCAATTTATTATTGTTTTTGGTTTTGGAGGGATTATTATTAGGCTCTGTGTGGAGTAAGGAAACTTGCCCAAGGTTTCGCCCTCTGCCTGGAATTGAACTCGGGTCTCTCACTTGCAAAGCGAGTGCTCTAACCACTGAGCTACAGGACTTATCCTCCCCACTATCAGCAGGCGAGCTCTCAGCCACTCTGTTCATGTTCCCTGGAGTCCCTTTGACTCTTCCCCTTTCCTTTCCTGCCTCAAGGCTTACCCTTTTGACTGTTTTTAGTCACCTTTCCGGCTACTCACCCTCTTCAGCTCCCACTCACCCCCACCCCCAGCTCAGGTGCCCAGCCAGCAGGGTAAAATGCTTTTTGAGATGCTCTCCCGATACGAAAGGCGGTATAACAGTATATAAACATAAATTGCATTATACTGTAAGAATGAATACAACTTCCCCTAAACTTACCTTTCAGATATACCTGAGCGTCGTAGTTCCCGGCACTATTCTCATCAGTACTGGGTGTCTCACAAGTGTATTGTCCTTCATCTTGAAATGTAACACTGGTGAAATGAAGCTGGGTGGAGTTGTTGCTGAGCCTCTGCACTGTGATCTCTCTTCTCGTCACTTTCTCTTTATATTCGGGGTCGAAGAAATTCGGTTCCCACGTGCTGTCAATCTTAACAGACCGGTCCCCGCGGAGCACCGTCCAATCAAAATTCTGTTCAGCCGGGCCCTGGTACTCACTGACACTGCACGGGATGTCGACAGAGCTGCCTAGCACACGGTACAGAGGGCCTGACGGCACTTTCACTATACGACCAGAGCTTAGACCTGCAGGAGAACGGAAGAAAGAACAACAATTATTTCCTTTCATAGGAACAGGAGTAGGCCATTCAGTCCCTCTGGCCTGTTCCGCCATTCAATTTGATCATGGCTGATCTGTGCAGCAACTCCAATTACCTACTTTTGCTCCATATCCCTTGATACCCTGACCTAACAGAAATCTATCCACCTCAGTCGTAAAAACGTGATTGGATCCAGCCTTTTGGGGGAGAGAGTTTCAGAATTCTACTACCCTTTGGGTAAAAAAAAGGCTTCCTGACTTCACTCCTAAATGGCCTAGCTCTAATTTTACGATTATGCCCCCATGTTCTGGATTCCCCCACCAGAGGAAATATTTTCAATATTGATTCACAGTAATTACAGTACGGTCATTGCACCACCATAGCCCTGTCAAGATTGTGTCCGCAAGGAAAGAACTTGAATTTCTGTAGCATCTTATCACATCAAAACTTTTTCCAAAGTGCTTCACAGGTAATGACTGTGAAGTGTCTGTTTTCATTGGCAAAGGAGGCAGCCATTTGCTCACGGTAATGTCCTGCAAACAGCAATGAAGCGAATGACAAATTAATTGTGAGGTTTATTGCCCAGGACACTCCCTTGTCTTTTAGAATAGCGTCATAGGATCTTTCATTTCTAACTGAAAAGGGAGCCGGGACATGTATTTTTATGCCTCATCTGAAGGACGTCATGTCTGACAGTTGTCGGCACTCCCTCAGTACTGTTCTTTAGTGTCAGCCTGGACTATAAGTCCAGACTTTGGACTTAAACCAACAACGTTCTGACCCCAAAAACAGGAATACCGACCGAGCCAAATCAAATTAGCAAAAGCTTGAGGGGGCTTATTCTCGGATGATCAACACTCTACCGGTGTGAACTTACATTATAAATTTCATTGACAAGCCAAGAGTATTCCCAAGATCTGAAGAGATTACCTCCCTCTCTCCTTTGCAGCTTGCTATTTAGTAGTTGCTCTTCACACCAAATCACACGTTTGAAACATGTCCCAGGTGCAAAAAACAAGCAAGAGGCCTGTGAGAATCCCATGCATCATCTGTACTGCAGAGTAAAACTATGTGGCCAGCTCGCCAGTCCTCAATCCAAGATGTCTCCAATTTATATTTCGAAACCAGCCTCATTAAAAGCTGACTCCAGAAGAAATCTGTCAGTGTTTAGGGATTCAATCCTCTGCACTTCCGAAATGCATGTTTGAATATGCGTACAAAAACGCAGACTGCTTTTATAAAAGTCCACAGGCAGCCTAACAGGCACAGTAACTGCACCTGAGCGAATCGGGTCCCCGAAGTAGAGGAAATGGGTTTGCACACAAAAATGCATTCATCACTCCGCTATGTTTAAATCAGCCTCACCAGAGGATGTATAGAGAATCGCCTGCATTGATCTGACGCCACATGGAATAAATCAGAAACCCATTACAAGCAGAACAACTGTACTACTGTGACTGATGCCTGAAGGGTTAAACAAAGCAATCTCAGAACTCATAATCTTTCCACCAGAACTTAGATTCACCACCTCCCAAGGGCTGCTTCAGCTATTTGGGCACTGCTCGAACCGTTTTTAAAAAAGTTCATAAAATAAATATGTGTGTTTATGCATTTATGTCATAAATTATGATTAATTTATCTCTCCCTTGCTCACCCATTGCCAGGGCAGCCATTTTAAAAATAGTGTTTGCAGTCAAATGTTTGCACTTTAGTTTTTCATTAATAGTAACTTTTTCTCCTCAAAAAATATACTCCAAAAGTAGCTGAAAGGATGCGTCCAGCTGTTGGGAAATATTAAGGAAAGCGTTCCAGCGATTCCTTGAGTTAACAAAAGTCTTAGCTAAAGCATATTTAAGCAGGTAAATACATATCTATTTCTTTTAGAGTAAATTCAATAGGATACATTGTAAAATCTTTAGCAACAGTGTTGTGCTTGAAAGAATAAAGGTAAATTGGATAAAAATAATAATCTTTGCATTTGATTTAGCGCCCTTCAAGAGCAGAAGGACATCTCAAAGTCCTTCACAGGAAATGCTGCAGATTGCACCGACTGTATTTTGTAGGTGAATGCGACAGTCAAATTGGGCACAGAAATGCTCCACAAACATGAAGTGAATGACCAGTTTTATTTGGCGAATTGTTGGCCAGGCCAGGTTGTTGGAAGTTGGATTGTTGGCCAGGACAGGTATCTATGATGCTTTAGCATAATAGCTGTAGAAACGTGACCTAGTTTAGGTATTTGGCCTCCACACTTTTGAACTCATCTCCCTCTCTTCTCTCACCTCCATCATTTCCCAAATGAAGCTCGCCACCTGCTCCCTTATCTCCATCTCTATCCCTCTACTTACCTCCCGGCTCTATCCTCTTGCCCACATACTATCAGACATTGTGAACCTCTCTCTTGTCTATTGGCACCATTCCCACCCTCTTAAACACCCACACCCCCAAAAAACAACCCTTTGACCCATCTCTCTTCTCAAGTTACCGCCCCATCTCCAACATTCCCTTTCTTTCCAAGGTCCTGGAATGAGTTGTTGCTTCCCAGTTTCACTCTTTCCTCTCCCGCTACTCCCTGTACAAACTTCTCCAATCTGGTTTCCGTCCTGTCCATAGCACAGAGACAGCCTTGGTCAAAGTTACAAATGACATTCTGTTGATTTGTGACCAGGGTTCTCTCTGTCTGTTCATGAAAGATAAAGGCTTGAAGGGATATGGGGATAGGGCGGAGCAATGGGATTAAATTAACAACTTCTCACAGATGGTGCAGACTCGATAGACTAAACGGCCTCCTTCTGCGCTGTAACTTTCTATGATTCTAAGCATGGTTGTATTTAATGGTTGATGGGTAGCGATCCTAAACCATCAATGTAAAAGGAATAAACATAGTGATACAGTAGTTTGGAAGTGTGGCCAGGTCATAGATCAGCCCAGGGGGAGGGGAGGATGCCCATAGGCACTTTTAGGTAGGTTTTGAAGCTGGACAGGTTGCATAAACTTGATCTGTATTTGACAGGCAGCTACAGAGAAACTATTTCCTCTGGTGGGGGAATCCAGAACAAGGGACATCATGTTAAAATTAGAGCTAGGCCATTTAGGAGTGAAATCAGGAGGCATTTTTTCACACAAAGGGTCATGGAAATCTGGAACTCTCTCCCAAAAAAGGCTGTGGATGGCTGGAACCATTCAAATTTTCAAGATTGAGGTGAATGGATTTCTGTTAGGTAAGAATATCAAGGGATATGAGACAACGGCAGGTAATTGGAATTGAGGTGCAGATCATCATGATTCTATAGAATGGTGGAGCAGACTCAAAGGGCTGAATGGCCTTCTCCTGTTCCTATGAGATAAAGGGGATTCCAAGATTTGCCCATTGCTTACTCTGCAATTTTCACTTTGCTTGAAAATTTTGACTTGAAAGGCACAGGCAGGCAGGCCAGACTGTGAGCTGGCATGACGGGAAGAGTCAAAGGTCATTCTCAAGAATAGCAACTCTGGAATTCAGGCCAAAATCCGAACACTCCAGTTTTAGGTTCTTTGTAAATTTTTGGAGCATGTGAAAAAGAATGCATTGTAATGGCTGCGTACTTTCATCTCAATTTATAAGCCTTATATTGTGAGGTCATATGAGCAATTGATGTTTTGAAAACGAAACCCCTTTCAACTCTCAAAACTGGTGAGCAGAAATTTCTGGTCTGCAAGCCAAAAAATGTCTGGACAGTCTAAGCCAAGCAATTGCCCATTTTCAGTCCAGTTAAGTGTTTCTTTTGCTGATGAAAGTATCCTTTAACCTTCAAAATGCCAAGGGTGCAAGATTAGTAAACTAGCTTATAAAGCACAGCTTGAAGAGGAGGAGGAAGCTGGCCTCTTTCCTAAGTAACCCATTGTAAATTAAGTTTTTTTTCCTATATCAACTGTGGGCTGAATTTTCCTGAGCTATTTTACTGTAACTAATGAACTGGTTTATTGGGTTACCAACATTTCTAGGAGATTGGTCAGGTGGTTCTCTGTGGTCATTCTACAGTGAGAAGTGAACTGAAGGAGAATATCAATCATTGGAGAATATTGCATCAAGCAAACCTTGCATCCGAGCAGCCATTTTGTTTGTTGCAAGCATTGCTGCCTTTTGCATTTCCAGGCGCTGCTGGAATCCTGCGCTAATATCATTCTGACAGTGGCAGTGGCCCCTTTAAAATCAAGCCACAGTTGTATACCTTCATAATGATTTCATACCATTTTCCGGCACACGTGGGTTGCTACTGAGGAAATGCTTAGCTATAACTCAATCTTGGGTTTCTGATTACTCCCATCGCGTGGTTTAAGATCAGCAGAGCTGACACAGATTAAATTTCAGCCTTTACGTTTTCTCCACAGCAGCTCTCAACTATATGTATGAATCAAATGAAACTTAAAAGCCTCAGTAAAAATTGGTGTTACACCTGCAATATGCTGAGGTTATTTAGCAGCAAAGCATTAATCATCGGTAACAACCCGTTCAATCGCCATAAAAGGTTGCAATTGGGACACAACAATTGGCACTGGCAGGGAGAGGGAGTGGCAAGGAGAATTAGGCAGGGTTCCAGTCCCTGTTGTATAAAGGCAGGATTGGGCTCTGTTGAGATACACCTGTAATCTTTCAGCCAATATCCACAGCTGACACTCACAATAAGGTACGGCCAAGATACCAGGAGGGAAAGAGGTACCTGAGGAATAATGCCTAGCACAAATCATTACCTTTAAGAGAACAAGAAGGGGAAGTAATGGTGAAAACTAGCTGTAAAAACAAAAAGGATGTCATCATCATTACATTCATGAGGGCAAAGAAAATAGAGGAATATGGGGACGTGGGGAGATTAGGATGGGAGGAATTTAAACACCAACATGGACTTGCTGGGTCAAATAGCTTGTCCAGGTGCTCCAGTTTCTATTAATTCTATGTAATCACACCAGCAAATAGAAAGATAATGTGGCTTACAGTAGTCTATGATA